AGGAGAACCACTCTCCCAGTGTCTTGGAAACCAGGCAAGGCAAGATTCTACAGATGTAAGAAATGGCTGAGAAAATTCAAGTAGATTAAAAACTGAAAACAGACTGTTGGATTTTGAACAGAGGTCACTGATAGAATCAGTTCTAAAGAGAAGTCATACTAATAATATTATTATATATTATATTACTGTTCATAAACTATTATTTCTTGAACTATTTATCTGTAATGTGCCAGGCACTTCATTTATAAATATCTGGGTTATTCCTTTAGAACAGCTTTAAAAGATTGATATCATGTTCCAGATGAAAAAAATGGAAGCTCAAAGAAGGAAAGTAACTCCTCTAAATTCAATAATTGACAAAACTGAAATGAAAACTGAGATTTAGGGGCTCCTGGGTGAGTCAGGCAACTGAGTGTTGAGCGTCCAACTTCGGCTTAGATCATGGATCCCATGGTTTGTGGGCTCAAGCCCCACTATGGGCTCACTGCTCTCAGTGCAGAGGCCGCTTCGGATCCCCTGTCTTCCTCTCCCTCCCCCTCCCCCTCCCCCACTCACTCTCTTTCTCTCAAAGATAAATAAACATTAAAAAAACACAAAAAACTGAGATTTATTCAAATCTGAGATTTATCCAAAACCATCCTCTATCTGGATTGAGAACCCCTCCTACAACAAAGTAAACCAAAACAAAAAAGACAAAAATCAGTGTTCTCCAAGAGTTATGAAAGAAATGGAGGGTGAGAAATGGATCAAAAGTGATAATTTGTGTGACTATGTCACGTCCTCATTTTTGTTTGGGGTCTGAAGTGACATGGGTTTGTGTCTGGATTTATTGGCCATCACTACACATATTTTTAGAAGGTAAAGATATTCGCTGTTCCGTGTGCTTCTCCCTAGCACAGCATTCCTGCATTAGACTCTTGGTAATGCTTGTGGGGGTTGGTAGATTGCCTCTGGCAGAATGTGATCTGGAGCTTTTCCTGACTCCTCCTTGTGATCTCAGTCTCCGTCGCATGACTGCCCCACCTCTTTCCCTGCTTCCGCTGATGACTCATTTTAACTGTTCTCCCAACATCCACAAAGTAAAGTAGTGTGTTGAAGAAAAAAATGAGAACAGATATATGTGCGATCTAACACTGCCTTTAGCCTGGCTGTGAATGCTGTCAGGTATTAAACTAAACTTTTCTCCAAAGAAGGCCCAGGGATCAAGTTTATAGTTGCTGTTTACAGTTCTGTGTTTGAGGCTACCCAGAACATGCCATACCAACAGCTACAAAGAGACTATTTAAAAAAGTTGACCAGAGCTGCAGGAGAACTGCCATTCCAAAAGAACAATGAGGAAAGTCAGCTTCAGAGTTACCAAACTTTGGTAAAATCTGCTCTGTGAAACTTTTCCTTTCTTTACAAGTCTGCATCTTTGCTCAGTGTACCAGTGATTATGCTGTTTTTATTAAACCAGGCTTTATTCAACAATGTTCTGTACCAGAGAGATTATAATCTATGAAGCCAAAAAACAAAGTCATTCCTCAGTTATAGGAAAGAACATAAAAAGGCTCCTTTTGGCCATCAAAATGTGAAAAGAGCCAGCTAGTAAAGTGCTTTCCCAGGATATTTCTTTCCACGAATCATGTAAGGATTCACCAACCGTTTCATCATAGGGGAAAGGCTGATGAGTCTAAATTTATGAGTGAAAATTTGTGCTAGGAACCAATGAAATCGGCAATCCAGAAGACCCGGGAGGAGGGAGGAGGAAGGAGGGACATTAAGAAGGAAGACTGGAAGAAAAATCTCTCCAGTGAATCAGGACACCACTTAGTGTAAACTGAGAGTTGGCTCTTACCCTTCAGCCTGGCACTTCCTGTTAAAGTTTTGGAAATTAGCCAGTGTTGTCATTAACACGTTTCTCCTCCCAGCAATGTATGCTTCTCTCAGTCATCAAAGAGAATAAGATCCAAATCTTTTTCAACGATGAGGTCACTGCAAATAACATGAAGCTCTTCATTCCTGTAGGACTGAGCATTTTAGGTGTTTAAGCATTTAAGTGAGTGTGATGGCTGGACCCTGCTGGACACAGATTAGGTTTCAGAATTTGCTGCTTCGTCCTCTAAGTAATGGAATCAGCCAGGGTGGCCCCAGCTGAACAACCGCGGAAGAGGTGATGGTGGCATTGCCACACCTGGGCTCATCACCTCCGCACTCTTGATTCTCCCCAGAGACCTCATTTCCTGTAGTGACAGACCCTTAAGTTGTCACCAACATTTCTGTCCCCAAATCCAACCATATCCTATGTAAGTTAGTAATTTTTGCAACATGAAAATGCTGTTTTAGTATTAGATTCAAAAGTATAAATTTTTCTAGCGGACTCCAAAATGAATACAAGAGAGCTCCTTTTGTCAGAAAATTCCATTATTCTGAATTACCAAAATATTCTTCACTTTAAAAAATATTGCCCATATCTGCCTATTTCAGCATTGACTAACACATTCCCTCCCTTCAGGTCTTTGTAGACACTTTAGTTCCTCCTTGGTCCTCCGAATAGGTTGGTCTCCTCTGTCATGCACCCTTTCTCAGGCTCATCGCTCTTTTAATGCTGGTTACTTTCTCTCCTCCACTGGACTGCAAGCTGGGTGGGCAACGGGACGGGGTCTGTTTTGTTTGTCACTGCATCCTCAACGACTGGCGTAAGGCCTGGCATCCACTAAGTTCTCAATAAACACTTCCCTCTAATTAATGATTATCTTTAACACTTTTTTAAAAAAAAAGTTCATTTCTTTATTTTGCCAGAGAAAGAGCGTGTGAGTGGGTGAAGGACAGAGAGGGAGGGAGGGGGAGAGAATCCCTCTGACAGCGCAGCTCGATCCCACGACCCTGAGATCATGACGTGAGCCAAAATCAAGAGTCAGACGCTTAACAGACCAAGCATCCCAGGTGCCCCTATCTTTAACACTTTTAAATTATAATTGACTTTACCAAAAATTGGTGCACCTGGAAACTTTACAGGAACAATGAACGGTGCACTGATTGTAGTACATGTTATTTGTATAGCAGTGTGCTGTTTACAAAGCTCTATTTTATCCATTTTTTATCTGCTTCTCACAGTCACATCGTGCGGTAAGTAGGGTAGGCCTTGCTGTCTTTATTTAAGGCATGGAAAGCTGAAACTCCAGACAGTTTTCTACCTCTGTAAATGGTGGGCAAGGACTCCCTTCCAGCACCCCTGCCGGTCCACGCCCCCACACTGCCTAACGGTTAGTAAACCCTTCCACCAGGGTTTTTCTCCTTTACTTCCAGATACATCATTTTACCATTTTAATCCACTTCATTTGCAGTTGGGTCAGTATCCCTTCTTTCTTCCCAACCAGTTGTTTTGCCGAACCACCGACGTAGAGTTGAAATCAGGGGCCTGGAGACTATCCAGCCTAGAATTCCACTCTGCTAAATGTGGATTTCCCACCCTTACTCCCCGATAGATCTTACCAATGACAGTGTCATTTTCTGATCTTACACCAGTGCGTGGCACCACGTCAACACAGAAAGGGCCCTCAGCACAGTCTTTGTCGAGAGTGGGCAACGTTTCTCTCTCACAAAGTGAGCCGAAAGGCCATCTACCATTGGGAGGTCCTGTAGGAGTGTCAGCCAAAAGGTACACCCTCTTTTCAAATTGAGCGACCATAGAGGACCCACGGTGGCTAAATTTCCATCTATTAATCCAGGTGTTGCCCTCACCAGTCTTGTTGCTTGTCCATGTTATGTTATTATGTGTTACAGCTGTTATTGAAATACAATAGGTCATCCTTACATTTTGGTTCTGTTTCAATGAGCAAACGACAGAGGGCCAGAAGACAAGTGCCAAAGCCTTTCTGGGCTCCTGTAGCTTGACAACTGGGGTCCTGGCCCAGGGAGCTGCGGAGGACTGTCATGGTATTTGGGTGTTTGAGTCACTGTCACATCCTCTGTAAGAAATTACCTTGTCAATTACCAAGTTTGGCTTGGTTAGGGTTGATAAATGACTCCAATCCCTTTCTGTCTCTGTTGAAAATTCTCCAGGGGCACCGAGGTGGCTCAGTCGGTTAAGTGTCCGATTTCGGCTCAAGTCATGATCTCACGGTTCATGGATTTGAGCCCCGCATCACGCTCTGTGCTTACAGCTTAGAGCCTGGAGCCTGCTTTGACTTCTGTGTCTCCCTCTCTCTCTGCCCCTACCTCACTTGCACTCTGTCTTTCTTGCTCTCAAAAATAAACGTAACAAAATTTTTTTTTTTTTAATTCTCCATATACTCTATTCACTTTCCATGAGGATTTTATAACCTGGAACTTCTATGTCATCGAAATATAGTAGGATCCTGTGGCCACCCAGGGTTCACATAGAGTCTGTGTCATTACTGTTGCTTCGTATGGTTATTACGCAGCATGTCTACAATATGTCTTATTTACAAAGTAGCTTATACTGCCATTTCAATGAAGAGATGTGGACTGGTGTATAATTTGCAAACCATTTCATTTTTTTTAATGTTTAAAAAAACTTTTTTTAATATGAAATTTATTGTCAAATTGGTGCAAACCATTTCAAATGTAGATTCAACTAGATAAAAGTTTTTAATAATCGTTAATGTATTGATTGCATTTAATGCATTGCACATATCTATTTATAATTAGAACTCAGAGATTTAAATGAAACTTGCTTCCTCTCAGAGTCACATGCATTCTAATATTCCTTAATAAAGAGCAATCAAATAAAAATGATTTGGCTCCTAGAATGCCAGAAGATGAAAAGCCCAAGTGCGAAGAGGCTCAACTTAACAATCCTCATACAACCTTGTAAAGACCATTATTACTTCTCAGGGGCCTAGGGGCTTTATAAATGCAATGTGGCTTTGGTGTTAACCTGCCCTTCTCCACTCTGGGGGAGTGCAAATTAACCATGTAATGTATGTAAATTTGGTGGAAAAGGGATCATTTCTCTGATAATGAACCTCACATTTCTCTTGCTTTCAAGTACAAAACGACTGGTGGCCCTAGTGCCCATGCCCAGCGACCCTCCGTTCAATACCCGAAGAGCCTACACCAGTGAAGATGAAGCCTGGAAGTCGTATTTGGAGAATCCCCTGACGGCAGCCACCAAGGCGATGATGAGCATTAATGGTGACGAGGACAGTGCTGCTGCCCTGGGTCTGCTGTATGACTACTACAAGGTAGACCCCGCAGCCCCGCCTGCTCCTCTTCAGGTCCCCAGAGAACCGCCCGCCCCTTCCCCACCGCCTCCCCCCCCCCCCCCCCCCCCACCCTGGTTGATGGGAGGAGTGGAGAGAACTTACTAGTTCCGAGGTCACATTGGAACTCAGCCTGTTCTGTTCTCCTTGCGTCCCTGCTTTCCCATCGCTGGAGCAGAACTTCACCACCCACCCACAGGAAGTTTTCAGTTGGGGATAATTACTTCTGTGTCCTCTGTTCACATGCATGTAACTCCTACTTCATACCATATTGCAGATACTTCCTTGCTGCCATTTTCACTTTATGATTTTTGGTCAATAAAAAGATGACAGGGGCGCCTGGCTGGCCCAGTCTGTAGAGCAAGTGACTCGATCTCAGGGTTGTTAGTTCAAGCCCCATGCTGGGCATAGAGATTACTTAAAAAAAATTGCATTGAGTGCTATACTGTAATTTAGTCATCACTCAGTTTTGGGGCCTTTAGGTTGCTTTTAGATTTCTCATTTTTTAAAAATAATAGAAACATTTTCTTTTTAAGTTCAAGTTAGTTAACATACAGCGTGGTCTTTGCTTCAGTGATTCATCTCTTACATATGACACCCAGTGCTCATCCCAGAAAGTGCCCTCCTTAATGCCCATTTGGAGTTTCTAGATTTATTGATAATTTTAGTTTTATGAAAGGAATATTCCAATGAGTGCTTTTGCAGCAATTCCAAAACCCACTTTTGTTATAACCCTTGTTTCCATGTGTTTTGATGGGCACTAAATATTTATTTAGAAAAATCCTTGAAACAAAAGGAATGTAATTCACTTACCTTACAAAAATACCTGCCGTGTAACACCTTCAAAATAGGACTATTTCAGGAAACCAAACAGGAAACAGTGGTCTGTTTCTTAGGAAGGGATGACCAGTTCCCTTAGCGCTGGTGAAGTGTAAAAAATCAACAAGTATTTACTGAATGAGAAGATTTACTGCCAGCTTTGATTGTAAACACCGGTCTTGTTTAGGCTGGGAATTGGCACAAAGGTGACAATGGCTGTGTTTATGTTGCTAGTCGGGCACAGTGAATGCTTTATTTTTGAACAAGAACTGAATCCCCGCCCCTGCCCCCTCCCATCATGAGATCACCCAAGAGGAACAATTTTCCTTTTAGTTAGCTTTAATCTCTTCCTCTTTTCCCCCCTGTTTCTTGCTCTCTGTGGCCTTCCAGCTCTCCACTTTTGCACATTGTGTTGTTTCCTTTCTCTGTCCTAAACCAGAGTTCTCACTCTCCAAAGATCTCCCACCATGAAGAGTGACCCTGATGTAATCACTTGGGTCATTACAGCTTCCTTTTATAACTATATTAAGTTAATATGTTGATAGTTTGGTAAGACATTGAAGAACTATTTTAAGAAATGTCTTGAATTAATATATTGTTCTAATTTTTTACAAATAGATTTTATTCCATCCCTTTGTGGTGGGCGTCATTTCAGATAGCTCTATTAGATGGCAATTCCTTTGTATTAATGAAAAGAGAAATATACCTCAAAACCAAATAATTAGTGGGGCGCCTGGGTGGCGCAGTCGGTTAAGCGTCCGACTTCAGCCAGGTCACGATCTCACGGTCCATGAGTTCGAGCCCCGCGTCGGGCTCTGGGCTGATGGCTCGGAGCCTGGAGCCTGTTTCCGATTCTGTGTCTCCCTCTCTCTCTGCCCCTCCCCCGTTCATGCTCTGTCTCTCTCTGTCCCAAAAATAAATAAATGTTGAAAAAAAAAAATTAAAAAAAAAAAACAAATAGTAATTTATAAAAGCAATGTATTTTATTTCCCATAGGTTCAGAGGATAATTATTAGTAAATGTGGTACCTATTTACCTCTCCTCTTGCATATTCTTAATATTTAAAGGAAAGTTGAAACATTGCTGTTTGTAAATATGTTGAGATGCAGAGTAAGGAGTTTACATAAAACTCAATTTGTTGTCAAGTCTATAACTCTACTGAGTTAACATTTTTCCTGATTAATTTATTAATTTAGGATATAAACATTTTTTAAATGTTTTTATTTATTTTTGAGAGAGAGTGCATGTGCAAGCGGGGGAGGGGTAGAGAGAGAGAAGGAGACACAGAATCCGAAGCAGGTTCCAGACTCTGAGCTGTCAGCACAGAGCCTGGCGCGGGGCTCAAACTCACGAACCACGAGATCATGACCTGAGCTGAAGTCGGACACTCAACTGACTCAGCGACCCAGGCACCCCTAGGATATAAAACTTTGAAATAAAATGGTTTCGGAGACTGTGTGGACAAGTAGAGTTACATGGCTCCCTTTATGTCACACAAGCTTGGATTATGTTTTTGCTTGAAACATTTTAAACGTTGAAGAATTAGTCTTGTTTCCCAAAACTGTGTCCAAGTGGTCATTTTCAGGCCTGAAATCTCTGACATTCACAACTTATATATGCTGGTATTAAAGTTAAAACAGAGTTAAATCTACTTTGAGGATAGACCTTCTTTCTGTATAAAGTAAAATATTAATGAAAAAAAGAGATTCTATTTTTTGAGTTGTAAGCTGTGGGAAGTTAAATTATTGTTACAATTGCTGCCGTTTTATCACTTAAATTTGATAGATTTTTTTTATACTGCTTTGGAAGTGCTAATAGAGTCTTTTTGTAAAATACACCATTTTTCCTCATTGCTAAGGTTGGACCGCATCACCCCTCAGGGGACAGTAGTGGGCTTTGTCACAGACAGGAGTGTGTGATACCCAGCAGGCACTCAAGAAATGGTGATCCCTGTCCTTGGAAACTGCAAAGGCATATCTTGGTATAATAGTTCACACATTTCAAAGTCTTTTCCTGTACATTTTTAAACTGTCACCATAGGATCACTGCAGTGAAGCCCATCAGGTTTTATATTTTATACTTCAAGCAACTAAGTGGGATTTATTCAAGGTCAGAAGACAATCCTGTAAATTTCCTAATATCCATTCTGTTACACTGTCTGTATTAGTCTGAGGGGCTGCCATAACAGAATTCCACAGACTGTGTAGCTTAAACAGCAGAAACTTATTTTCTCAGTTCCGGGGGCTGGAAGTCCAAGATCAAGGGGCTGGCAGGCTTGATTTCCGGTGAGGCCTCTCTTCCTTCCTGACTTGCAGATGGCTGCCTTCTGGCTGTGTCCTCATATGGCCTTTTCTCTGTGTGTGTGTATTTCTTTGTGGTCTCTTCTTTTTCTTATAAGGACATCAGTCTTATTGGTCTAGGGCCCCGCTGTTATGGCCTCATTTAACCTTAATTACCTCCTGCAAAGCCTGTCTCCAAATATAGTCACATTGAGAGTTAGGGCTTCAACACATAAACTTTGAGGGGAAACCATTCATTCAGTTCATAACACTGTCCACCACTAGAAATTGCCTTTTTTTTTTTA